TCTCTCTCAAAAATAAATAAAACATTAAAAAAAATTAAAAAACAGAACAAAAACAGAAGAGATGTTCACTGCCCTTGGACAAATCAGTTAATCTCTTGGAGCCTCATTTACCTGACGTGTGAGCTAGGAATAGTCCCCTCGACCTCAGGAACCTAGAGTGGAGTAGATGAAGTCCCAGGTAGGAGGAGCCCCGAGCCCGGGAGTGTGAGGCCCTTTGCAGTGCGGTTTCTTCCTTGCTGGCGCCCTCCTGCTCTTCTGCCCTCCCGTCCTCTCTCTGTGTCTTGCTTATCGAGCGCGCAAATGCACCTCACTTCAGTGGCTAATTTCACCGAGAGGCAGACAACTGTTAACACCCATACCGCATAGGTGGGGAGGTGAGTGGCCGAGGAGTGGAGCAGCTCGTCTCGGGCGCCTTGGGTGTCAGTGACAGAGCGGACAGCTGTGCTGTCTGCCTCCCCCAACACGTAGCAGCTACTGGCTTGTGTTGTGTTAATCACATTTTGCCAGAAAATTCTTAAGCTTTCCAACTACTTCTCAGCAATTGTTCTCTAGTTAAATGTTAATAAAGAGCTTTCAAATATTAATATTTCAGAACTTCAGCTTAACTTCTTAAGACACATAGAAATAAATGTACCCAAGGGATACATTTGAACAAATCGTTATCCCCAAATGCCCTTAACCAACTGAATGACCGAAGGTCACTTAATTTCTAATATATAATCCTCCGCTCATCCTGCCTTTGTTAATCTTTGGTGAGTCAATCCCACTCGTTAAAACTAATTAGTATGTTTGTGCCATCGATTATCTGCATGGAATTACTTCTAGAGTTCTCCTGTGCATGTTTTATGCTCCAGGAAAAGACTTTGACCTCTCCTCTTCATGTGCCTCTCAAAGATATGAAGTTATAAATTATAAAGATACAAAAAGATCAAAACCGAATGGGGGAAAGGCACATTGTAAAAATTTTAAAGGAGCTATTCTGTGCCCTAATATTAGCTAGAGAAAAACCTGAGTTCCATTTTGCTGCAAGATCAAAGCCTTTGAATAAGTTAAAAGGCAGATTGAACTCAAAGCTGAAAAATAACAGATACTTGAAATAAAAATTATCCTGAGGCTTAAACATTAGACAGTCGTTCAAAGGAAGGAGTTCTCATTTATCACGCTCAGAATTACGAGAACAGAAAAAGATTTGTAATCGAGTAACCTTTCTTGAAAGGTTCCTTTTGGGGAGAGGGAGGAAGGTGCCCATCTCTGTGGCGGCCCAGCCGAGGCCTGAAGTGTAGACGTTGCTTTTTCGGTAGGAATTCCTTCCCCGAGTCCTTTGTGGTCCACGCTGAATCGATGGGTCATGCTGGAGGCCGTACGCTGGGCCTTCCCTTGAATTCTGCTTCCTGGTCTTAGGTCTGACCCCTTTGTTATAAATGGAGCCGTTGGGTATGTGGACAGCCCGTATGTTGAATGTGTGTGGTGGTGTATTTATGTCACACGTGAACTACTTCTGGATCCGAAAAGATGAATGGGCATGTTGTGCAAGTTTTTGACAGAATGGTTTGTTCTGTTGTTAATCTGATTCAGGATCTCCCCGTGAATATCAAATTCATCATCGAAGGCATGGAAGAAGCCGGTTCTGTTGCCCTGGAGGAACTGGTCAGAAAAGAAAAGGACCGGTTCTTTTCCAGTGTAGACTATGTCGTCATTTCGGATAACCTGTGGATCAACCAGGGGAAGCCGGCCCTCACCTACGGCACGAGAGGGAACAGCTACTTCAGGGTGGAGGTATTTGCAAGCTCCAGGGGGGCGAGGGAGGAGTCCGTCCTGGGATCTTGGAGGGAAGAGAGAAAGCTCTTGAGAGAGGAGAGTTCTGACCTGGAGGCTTGGCCGGGTCACGGAGGCCATGGAGGTCTCAGGACGGGGGATTCAGGAAGCCCCCCAAACAGAGTGGCTGTGCTGTGTGCATTTTTCTGGAGAGAGGATACAGGGGTTTGTGACTCACAAAACCAAAAGGTTTAGGAAGCACAGCTGTGGAGTTTGGAGGTGCGAAGAGCAGTGCAGCGGGTAAGGAGACTGCCTGATGGCGCCCGCGCTGCCGAAAGGAGGGGCAGGAGCCCCACGGCAGGGGGAGGAGGGGGGGCGCCCGCATGGCTGAGGCTGATGGGAATTCTGTCTCACTTCCTGTGCAGCCTTGTGCAGGCTCCTTCACTCGGAGCCTCCATTTCCTTACCTGTAAAGTGGGCCCAGTGATCCCCTCCCAGGCTCGTTGGGATCCCTGAGGAGGAGGTCCAGTTCGGCTTCCTTTAACTTTTCTAGTCATACGATAGCACTTTAGAGCCAGACGGCCCTCCCTGGGAGATCAGTAGGTTTTCAGCCACTTCGTGTGTCCTCGTGTAACAGGGCGCACACTAGCCACACGTGCCCTGTCCACACCCGACTGCTGTGAGCATGAGAGGGTGTAGAGAAGGTGGAAACGCTCACGCGCTCACAGGCACTTAAATGGCAGCATGTGCCTTCTGCTCACCAGATGAGAGGATGCTGAATCCCAGGCCAGACAGCTTGACTGAAACAGCCCCTGCCCTCGAGGAGTTTACTGCCGGGAGACCCAGACGCTTGAAGACATGGGAGGGAGAAGCGGCGAGGTCCTTGTGGAAACCTCTCTCAAAGACTTGGCCTTGAAAAGACGTGACATGAGGGGACGTCTAGAGGGGCACAGGGTCTGGGCTCCTTCAGGAGGCAACCGAAAAGCTCCGAGGGAGCAGGGGGTTTATGAGAGCAAAGGCACGGGGGCGGGGGGCGCGGGTCCTGAGCTCTTCTGAGCAGGTGCAGGATGAGACTGCCGAGGGAGAACGTGCAGGACATGTGTCCCACTGCGTCTCTGGGTCTCTGCTGAGTAGGAAGCACATCTGCCTGCCACAGGGTGACTGGGGACTGGGTGGGAGAACAGACCGGATCATGATCAAGTGTCGGGGAGGCTTGGGCAGGGAGAGTCCCCTGCCCTGCAGCTGGGTCATTGTTAGCAGCCGAGCTCAGTAGCCAGGGAAGGAGAAGGCCCCAGTGGGCAGGGCCGACCCAGGGCTGAGGTCATTCCAGGCGGTGCGATGGAGGGACGGGGGAACGGCCAAGGGCACCAGTGGCCACAGACAGTTAGAAGTGGTGGGCGATGCAGGGCTGAGGGGAGACAGGAGGACGACAGGTGCGGAGATCCTGGCTGGGTCAAGGGAGGTCACGAGCAGGTGCAGGCGGTGACAGGAGGATCGGGGGCGGGGGGACGGCGGGAAAGGCTTTGGAGGTGGGACTCTGCAGGCCCCACGGTGCTGTGGTTAGTGTGACTGCCTCATGAAGCAGAGGTTTGGAGCTTAAGTGGCTCAACGGAACATGCGTCTGGCAGCGCTTTGAAGACGGACCGGAGGAGGGGAAGACCAAGCCGGCGGGAGAGATGGGGGGACGAACCGGAGAGGCATTTCAACGCAACTCGTCAGGAGCTGGTGGCAGATTGGGTGTGGGGTGCGCCGAAGCCAAAGAAAACTTTAAGGTGACAGGTTTACAGGACCCGCGTCTGTCCGTCTTTTGGAAACGGGCGAGCTGGTAGGAGGTAGCAGAGGCGCAGCTCCCCTCCACATCTGCAGGATTTCAGGAACTGGGAGCACACCAAAGTATTATGCCCCAGAAGCAACCAACATTTTGAGGTCAGGTGAGTGGCAGGTGAAAGGCCCGACCTCCAGGGATGGACACTGAAGGGTGTGGAGGTGGTAAATGAAGCACAGAGAGGCAGTTCTTTTCTTATTTTTATTTGTTATGTTTTTAATGGTTATTTTTGACGGAAAGAGAGAGAGAGAGAGCACAAGCCAGGGAGGGGCGGAGAGAGGGGCAGACACAGAAGCTGAAGCAGGTGCCAGACTCTGAGCTGTCAGCACGGAAACCGACGCGGGGCTCGAACCCATGAACGGGGAGATCGTGACCTGAGCCAGGGTCGGGTGCTTAACCGACTGAGCCCCCCGGGTGCCTTCTAGGGAAGGGGTTCTTGAGGTTCCGTGTGTAGAGGGAGTAGGAGCCAGGGACTGAGCTCCAGGGCGGGAGGCAGGGAAGAAGTTACCAATGGAGACACCAATGGAGTTGTAAGAAAAGGACAAAGAGGAGGTTTCTGGAAGGAGGGCTGAGCAACAGGCAGGGTTGGGCCACAGAGACGTCAGCCCCTTGGGGAAGGGGCTGCTGGCCTCAGACAGAGCCATGTTGGAGGGACAGTTGGGGACTGAAATCAACTTCAGAGGATGCAGGAAAGAACGGGAAATGAAGACGCGGGAGGTGCCCCACACACTGTGACCGGGATGTATCCACCCGAGTCCTGAGGGACAGCACGTGGGGTGTGTCCGACCACGTGATAGCTGCTACCAGAGCTACCACAGGGGTAAGCGCCTGTCTTCTCTCTTACCTGCCTTCCAGGTGAAATGCCGAGATCAAGATTTTCATTCAGGAACCTTTGGTGGCATCCTCCACGAGCCAATGGCTGATTTGGTTGCACTTCTTGGTAATGTCTTATTTCATTTCACTTTTTAATCACTGGGGAACCTACTAGAATACAGTTCCGTTTGGTTCAGTGCATCTCTCCTCCCTTGGCTTCCAAGCCAGTTCTGAGTAAGGGTCGAGTAGAAGAAGAACCGTATTCCTAGCTTCCCCCGCTTTGGCTAAATGTTCCTTGGGCTTATTGAGTCCACATTACTTTTGTTCATGGACTGAAGCTCTTCCTCAATTCACCCCCTTTTCTTTTACTGGATATTGTGACACAACTGGCCATGCTCGGGGTCACTAGCAGAGAGACCCTTCTGGAGAAGCATCCAGAGATGATGCCAAATACATCGGCACCACTTGGCTCCTTTCGTCCAGGTTGCTGTGGCCCCCAGTGGCACAAGGACTCCCGTGGGTCTGCTCGTGGCTGCCTGCCCCTGACCTTGCAGCGTGTCTGGGGTACGGAAGTGGAGGTCATGTGTACGTGTGTGTGTTTCCAGAGAGCCAGAGTGCCCACCCCGATCACCTTGATTCTTCCTGTATCTCTTGCTTATGTCGGCCTGCCCAGCATCTGGCTGGATCCCGGGAGTTCAAGGAAGCTTCGTATTCAGGGACCTCACTTGGATGAGCCCCTTTTGCAGGCTTGGCAGGGACTCTGTGCTTTTGTGTTCATAATTGGGTGTTCTTTTAAAAAAAGAGGTTCTCAGGGAAGCATCAGACCCCACAATACTTGGATCTGTCTTCACTTGGCACAAAGGGTACTTCTGTGAAAGTTTTACAACGTGTCCCTTTTGGACCAGACATGTCCCAAAAAGCATGTCCGCTATGGGAGTCAGCTAGAAAAAGTCTCTTTTCTTCGTGTGTGGACACAGCGTCACCTCTGGCCCCTGGCTTGTATCCCCTTGGCCTCGGCAGTCTCGAGAGGGCACCATCAGTCCACCTGCACCGTCAGGGTCTTCAGAACTGTTTTTACTTGTAGAGTTTCTTGCTTATTCATTCCCCAAAGTAAATAATGAAATCTATCCATCGGTCATCTGTTATCTAGCTACGCTATCTGTCATTTATCTCCCATCTGTCTGTCCTGTCTGTCTTTTTTTTTTAAGTTTATTTATTTTGAGAGAGAGAGAGAGGGAGAAAGAGCTCAGGAGAGGGGAGGGGCAGATGGGGGGTGGGAGAGGGAGAGAGAGAGAGAGAGAGAGAGAGAGAGAGAGAGAGAATCCCAAGCATGCTCCACACTGTCCACACAGAGCCCGATGTGGAGCTTGAACTGTGAGATCATCACTTGAACCGAAATCAAGAGTCGGACGCTTAACTGATTGAGCCACCCAGGGGCCCCTGTTCTTTCTGTCTCTTTATCTATCATCTATCTATTCCTTTATGACCTTCTACTTTTCCTAAAATATAACTCTTAGACCATATCTCACATGCTTGAAAATATCAGACGGAATACAACAATCCATTCTCTTTTAAAGTTTTTAAATTGTTTCCAGAAGAATTCACATAGCATGCAACTCGGTATTGTGGGGGGAAAAAGAGTTAATCTTCTGTTTTACCAGAGCTAATTTTCTTTTCCTTAAGAACAGCATCATCAAATCTTTATGGTACATTTCAATCCCCCCCAATCACGATTGCTGCATTGCATCCTCTTAGACTGTATGGTTTCACCCAGGCATAGAATTCCGTTTAGTCCTACAAATGCATATGGTTCCATTAAGAACAATCCGATCAGGATCACGAACAGAATGAAAAACACATGGTTTCACTTTCTTTTATTTTTGAGACAAATCAAATAATCCATAATGAAGTGACTCTGGATTGGGTCTTCTATATGGCTTTCATATGCTTTGTACAAAGACCTGAAGGACATACGGTTGAACTGCGGCACTGATCAGATGACAAGCAGGGATTTTGCTTGCTGACCCCGACAGCATCTTGGCTCCCGGGCTCTCCCTGAGGGCCGCTGCACGTTAGGATGTCAGGGAGAGCGGGTTCTGTTGGGTTCTCCCCACTGCAGACTGGCAGGTGCCCTACACGTTAGTCAGCTGCTGCTGTGTGACCTTGTGCAAGTTCCTAATCTCTCTGTCCTCGCTCCTTGTCTGTGTGATCCCGGTAACCATGAGTGCTAATGAGTCATAAACATGTGTTGAGTGCCAACGGTATGAAAGGCATGGAGTCTCCACCAGGGGGATACAGGGAGCTCCCGCTGGCCCCGGGAACACCGCAAGTTCCTGTTTTCAAAGAGGCTTAGAGTGGGGTGTACATGGGAGGTCGGAGGTGGTGGGAGTGGACATACTCAGTCTGCACAGAGCCCTCTGCTCCTGGGCATTCCTCTGTGGGCATTCCTACTCCCTGCCCTCACCTAAAAGCCACAAAGCAGGGAGGTCACCGGGTCCAGGGCGCTTTTATCAAACGTTAGATTCCAAGGGGCCTCCTGAGGATCAAGGATTACTTGATTTGCTTCCCGTTTGCCATTTTCAAAGGCGCCACCCTCCGCCTTCCCTGCGCTTCCAGACTGGGCTCCCGGCCGAGGCCCTCGTGGCTGCAGAAAGCACATCCCATTCGGAGGATGGTGATTTCAAGTGGGAAATGAGGAGGGGGTGGGGAGATGAACTCTTGGCAAACGTCCTTTTTCTTGCCGACGCGTTCGGTGTTGGAGGACTGGGCAAAGACGCAGCGAGAACACGCCGTGTGGGGCAGAAGCACGGATGGCGCGCGCGGTGTCTTCCCTCCGGCTGGTCCTGCGGCGCCTGGAGGCCACCGCGTGCTGAGCCTCCCGTGAATCTCCCTGCTGGTGGGTGCGAGGGGCAGGGGGCGGGGGACTCGGGGGGGTGTCGGCTGTGCTCTGTCCCGCCAGCAGCTGGGACGGCTGTCCTGCATCCTGAGAAAACAGACTCCAAGACTCGAAACTGCACCGGGCCCCGGCCAAGTGCGGTGAGCGTGAGGCAAGGCCCCTGCTCACGTCACAGCCTGATTTGCCAAGGACCCCTGACTCCCATCCCCACGGTGATGCCTGGCACGGCTGCCTGAAATGACAGGAACAATGTCCCGGCTCAGTGTCCCGTATGGACACTGAGCATCCTGGCTGCTTGCGTGTCTCAGGTCTTCATTGTTTTGACCTTGACGTTTCGAACACCCATCTCTTCTCACCATCGAGACAGTGCCCGTCGCGTCCCACACAACCTGGCTGGCGCCCTGCCTGCTCCTTGCTCCTGGATGTCCGCTCCCCTTCACAGCTCTTTGCTCGTGGACCCTCAGGTGTTTCTTTACCCTGTGTCTTTCCGGCCGCATTACGGACGGGGTCTGTCTTTCGTGCACTTTTGCAGCTCTGTCCTTGCGTACAAGAGTGTCGGCAGACCTTTAGGGACGTGCCCCGAAGGGAGGACCTGGTGATTCCTGGTGGTGCTTTTAGGTTCGGTTTTGATTTTGGCGAGGGTGCAGAGGGTGGCCTGCAAACCAGTGACAGCCAGTCCCAATCCCTTGGCACCCAGCTTAGTTTTTAACTTCAATTTTATCAATCGGTTTGTATCACGTATTTCACACAGGCTTTGCTGGGCTAAATGCGGCGAATCCCATAACGCAGTAGCCCAGGGAGGTGGATAGCGGTCTGCAATACCACCTCCAGGGTGGCTGTGGAAGTTTGGGTGACGTACACAGGGGACCCGGGGAGGGGCTAAGGAGGATGTGGTCGAAAACCAGAACAGCGAAGACCTCCCTTCTCATTTTGCTGCCTTGATGCCCTCGAAACTTGGGGTCTTGCTTTCGAGGATGGCCTCAGAGTGCTGGGACACCTGTTACAACGTTTATTTATTTTTGGGACAGAGAGAGACAGAGCATGAACGGGGGAGGGGCAGAGAGAGAGGGAGACACAGAATCGGAAACAGGCTCCAGGCTCTGAGCCATCAGGCCAGAGCCCAATGCGGGGCCCTGAGCCATCAGGCCAGAGCCCGATGTGGGGCCCGAACCCGCGGACCGTGAGATCGTGACCTGGCTGAAGTCGGACGCTTAACCGACTGCGCCACCCAGGCGCCCCTGGGACACCTGTTACATACCACCCTACCACTGGTCCTGTAGGTTTTGGTAGCGTGTTTGCCTTGGATCCCGTTGTGCCCGCAGACAGCCAGACCACCTGCTGATCTGCTTGTGCCGGGTCACACTTGCTATTCAGCCTGTGTGGCCACAGATGGCACCATTGCTGACGAAAGCAGGGTCTTAACATACCCTCAGCGTCCCCAGCACTCCTCTGGTTCTTTGAGCACAGCGGGTGTCCTGTAACTGGGGGGACACACCGGTGCTCACAGAGCCTCCAGCCCCGAGCTTTGTCAAGTGTCAGCTTTAACAGGAAGACCTCAAGGTACAGTGCGTCACAGTAGCTTTTTGACATTGTCAAGTTACAATCTCATTAAGCCTGTGGGGCATATGTTTTACGAAGTGTCTTCACTTGAATAAGAGTCCCCGTGTGGATCGAAGAGAAATTTCGATGTCCCGCCTACATTTTTCACCATCTCCACTAGTCTGCTTGCTGCTTTGAGAAGTATTTTTTCAAGGTAGTGAGCAGTGTTTTACTAAATCTACTTCCTCTGTAGATATTCGTTAATGATTTCCCCCCCTTCCTATGAATCCCCAAACTCTTTCAGAAATAACAGACTGGTATATCTGCCTATTCACTATGAACGCATTTGTAGTCATCATGTATGCCTCATAGACTTGATCTCAAGGATTTTATACTTTTGATTGAAGATGAGTACTTATTATATTATGGTTCTTATGGGGGGGGAAGCTGAGAATGATGATTTTGGTTCCTCAGGAATGCTGTATAGACATACCCATACATAGTTAAGTTTTTAAATGATGAACATATATTACTTTTTAACTCAGCATAGATGAACATTTAAAAAACAAACCTTGTTTTTGATACAGAAGGTACAATTGAGGACCAGTGTCATGCAGCTAAGTCCTACCCAGTTACATGTACGCAGACCCCTGTATTTCCATCCCTGCACTGATGAGGTAGACATTAAAATGGGTCTGGCTCAGGCAGAGTCTGCCAGCTCTGTCCTTTGGAGACGTGAGTGCTGCGAGCGGCTCTGCCCAGGGGGACCAGGGCCCGTCACAAGGCCCGCTGCGGCCACAGGAGTCACCCAGGCCCCCGCGCCCGGGCCGGAACCTCAGTGCACTCGTAAGCCCTCCCTGGCTTTGTTTCCCGTGTCCCTTGCAGGCAGCCTGGTGGACTCATCTGGTCATATTCTGATCCCTGGAATCTATGACCAAGTGGCTCCTCTTACAGAAGAAGAGAGAAAAATGTACAAAGCCATTGATCTGGACCTGGAGGAATACCGGCGTAGCAGCCACGTTAAGAAATTTCTGTTTGACACCAAGGTAGGCTCACAAGTTGATGGCTGATCTGAAAGAGGAATGACAGTAATAAATCATATTTTCCCAATTCCTGATTTACTGTGTTCTGCTCATCCACACGTCTCAGAACTGAAAGCAGATGTTAATTCCGAGGCAGATTTTCACTTTCGTGGCCACTTACTTCCCTAAGGTCTAGATCAACCAGAAGTCTGTGTGGGGTCTGCCCAGCACTGGCCTCGGGCGTGTAACCTTGGGGCAGCCACCCATCTCACAGACATGCTTTTCCAAATCAGTTTATTAGACCCAATGCGTTCAGCTGTCTGCGCTTCCTGTCTGCTCAAAGATTGGGAAGAGTCTGGTCGGTCCAGTTCCAAGACCCCCAGCTGTTCATTGTAATAGACAAAATCAAGAGCCCTGGGGGCTACTCTGCGAGCTACTACATTGCCGCCTCAGTGGAAGTAAACCAGAGCCCAAAGCGTTCATTTCTGGCAGATTTGGATGGTTTCTGTCCCCTTCTCCCTCTTACTCTTTTTGAGACCTTTGCTGCTCTGGTGTGTGGTGGCTGGGGGACCTGCCACGAGGAGGGGGAGCCCTGCTGAACAGACGCGACGGAGTTTGTTACCGCGAAGTGTGTCTCTTCCCTCAGACCAGCTCCGCCTTGGTCACAGCAGCAAAGAAAACTGGCTCAACCGTACGCAGAGTCCTTTGAAGCCTTCTGAAAAAAGAAAACGCTTTTACTACACAACCTATCATCGTGATGCTTGGGGGTAGAAACTCACAAGCAAGCCCCAAATTCTGAAAGGGCCCCTTTGCCATCTATTAACTTGAGTGTGCGAGCGACGAGGGGCCCTCATCGGTGGAGCGGCTCGGTCAGCCAGAGGCAGCAGAGTGTCTCGGGTCTGGAGGGGAAATCCCACTTGTCTGGCTAGTCCAGACACATCTGAGGAAGGTGATAATTAGCTTGTCACAAACAGTGCTAGAGATGCACAGAAATCGGCGATACAAGCGATACAATTGAACAGTTTTACTTGAGCTTCTTTAATTTAGTAAAATGATTTTATTTTAATTCAGGAGGAAATTCTAATGCACCTATGGAGGTACCCATCGCTGTCAATCCACGGGATCGAGGGTGCATCTGATGAGCCTGGAGCTAAAACCGTCATCCCTGGCCGAGTTATCGGAAAATTTTCAATCCGTCTGGTCCCTCACATGAATACGTCTGTGGTGGAAAAACAGGTGACAGATGTGCATTGGCCCATTTCTGAGGGCCGTCTCCCACGGCTTAGTGGGCTATTCAGTTGTTGGCACTGACGTATCATTTTTTCCCAACATAAAAGGGATTGTAACACACGTCAAGAAACCAATATAATTTTTGTTTGGTGAAATCTCTTTCTGTAATTGTATGCAATTACAGTAGTCAGACAAATAACCGTTTGGGGTTGGAGTGATGGGAAATATTTTTACATTAAACAGTTGACAGAAAGGCAAGATTGGTTTACACACAGATGGAAAAGCTGATTGCCTACGGCCGGATGGAGCCGGAAATGCTCAAGCCTGTAGTTAGTTTGCCCGTTGGTGTCTGAATTCAGTACTCTGAAAGCAGCCGTTTTAATGAAAATGTTATCTGGAAGGAGTTACATGTCCAAATTATCAACCTATCATCAGTTTACCTCCAGTTCAACAGAAAGTAGGCTCTGGACAAATGGGCTCCAAGAATACCTCTTCCCAACTCTCTCTCATTGACCTCTTTTATTGTCTTCTTAGCACTAATTACATCCCCAAATACCCGCCTTCCCAGTCTCTGTCCCTGTTTTTCCCCCTCCCTCCTTCTCTTTTTGGACGTATTGTTTCTCTTTCTCAGGAGATACGTATCCCCACGAGGGCAGGCCTGTCTTCCTCTTGCTCACAGCTGTGTTCCCAGCATCTAGGACAGTTCCTGCCACATGACAGGCAGTCAATAGATGTTTGTTGAAGGAATGAATGGGAGGGATATTTCAGAGTATAGTTTTTCTTGGGAGAATTTCCATTGTGGCAACTGGAATGGAGCCCAGGGGACAGAGAAGGACTCTGATCAAATGCTCTTTTATAGCTTAGCTCAGAATTGCCCCCACTTTCCGGAAATTTCCAAAAGCATAACATTCCCACAATAGTCACTAAGGTACTGACAAGTTAAAAAGGAGGGATATTCAAACTGAGAAGTTGTATTGTTTCCTAATTACCAAAATTCATAATAACCAGGCGTCGGAAGTCTGACACTGTGGTCAGGATGGGCGGGCGGAGGGCTGAGGACTGCAGGGTCCTGAGACAAGTGTTTCTGTAACCACTGAAGCTCTCTGTCTCTGAGGCCCCTCTGCAAGAATGAAGGCAAAATCACAGCACTGGAATTTGTCAGGCTGGGATGAAAAATTGCTATATAGTCACTGCGTGTGAGAATAACTTGACATGTTCTCTTACAAATGAAAATGTTCCTTTTCAGGTGAAGCAGCATCTTGAACATATATTCTCCAAAAGAAATAGTTCCAACCAGATGACTGTTTCTATGACACTGGGACTACAGCCGTGGATGGCAAATATTAAAGATAATCAGTATGTTGCGGCCAAAAGAGCCATCGAAACAGGTTAGACTTGCGATATCTCGAGTTGCCAGTTTACCGTGGGACCAGGTGTGGTGCCTGGTGGGGCAGTGGAGAAGGCAGCACGTTCCAAATTTCACTCCGGCCCTCCTTTCCACCAAGGCCACGTCACTGAGTGCCATCTGTGCACAGGGCTCTTCATACACACTGTCCCACCGCCCCTACCAACAGCCTCCCCTGGTTCATAAAGTCTGGGGGACATTGAGGAATTTGCTGAAGGGCACTGAGCTGGAAGTGGCAAGGCCAGGATTAGGGTTTATGTCTGGAAGCCTGAATTTGGGGCAAAATGGTGGACTTGAGAGCCTCTGATACTTACGGAAGTGATGGCCAACATATAAAAATGTCCTTTAAAGGGCACAGCTGAATTTGCGTGAAAGTAAAGGAACTCTGGGGTTTAAAAATGAGGAAGGAGCTAAAATTTCATGGAGGGAGCAAGCGTACGGTGGGCCGCCCTGTGGGGATTTTCTTTTCTTCATCTTCTTTCTTTAAATTAAATTAATGAATTAATTTATTTAGAGAGACCATGAGCAGGGGAGGGGCAGAGAGAGAGGGAGAGACAGAATCCCAAGTGGGCTCTGTGCTGTCAGGGCAGAGCCCAACATGGGGCTCTAGCTCACGAACTGTGAGATCATAACCTGTGCCGAAACCAAGAGTCGAACGCTTAACTGACTGAGCTTGTCCAAGGGTAGAGAAGCTTAACTGACACTCTGCTTGTCCAAGGGTAGAGAAGGCAGCAGAGCTGTACTTGGCATTTTCTCGCTGGTCCCTATTTTGATGGCACATACTTCCAAGTCCTGGGCCGGATCGTGTGGTTGGTGAGCATGGGACACGTGCCTGGGCCCTGGCTGCCTGGGTGGGGAGAAGGAATACCTAGTCTCTTTGGCTTCTGACACTGCCCACAACTGCAAAGTAGGGGAATCTCTGAAAAGCAGGGGGATTTTCAGAGTCTCCCCAAAAGCCAAGTGGGAAAACACTGACACGTGTTTGTATGGACCTGTGGGCGTTATATCCTGGGAGAGGCCTCAGGCCAGGCCCCACAGTAGTCAGAGCTGAGCTGGACTCCGAGGTTCAGACCACCCGGGAACAGTGACACTTTACCAGGGTTATCCGTACCAAGGACAGGGACATTACAAATTAGTGGCTCAGTTGGTTCAGGATCCGACTCTTGATTTCACCTCAGGTCATGATCTCACGACTGTGAGTTTGAGCCCTGCGTCCTATTCCACACTGGATGTGGAGCCTGCTTGGGATCCTCTTTTCACTCTCCCTCCCTCTCGAAATAAAATAAATAAAATTAAGGTCAATTCCTCTTTCACCACTGTTTATTTAAAAAATATAGTAAAAGTAAAACCATAAAAATTAGAGGGCAGGTCTGAGGACAGTCTGAGACTTAGAGCCAGAGTTGTGTACGCAATCATTCCTGCTGCTCCGGCTGTCGCAGGGTGTTCCCACCAAACTGTGGAAACCAGGAAGAGAGAAAGAAGAGTCAGGAAGGTAAGTGCCCTGCCAGCTGAGGAGAGATGTGGGATTGAAATGTCCAGGTCAGCAGTAAAGACCTGAAATACTCTCGCAAGAACGCATAAGGCACCTTTTGGTTTATTTGTGTGTACAGCCAGTTCTCCTAGCAAAGTACATCACCTGGACTCACATTCACACCTCGCTCTGTGGATAAAGAACATGTGGCATGTTATCTTTTGTGTCTTTATTTTGCATCTCCCCTCCGTCACTGGCAACTTGTGCCCTAGCCTCGACGGTTTCAACTCATGTCTCTAGACCCTAGGATATCCATGACAACTATTCCATGGGCTACCTTGACAGCTGAGCACAAAAACAACAACATTCAGGTGACAGTTGAATACAGCTATTTATTTATATATTGCTTATAAAACCAAAGAAGTCCCGCTTTCCAAATATTTAATTCATGAAGCAACCATAAAAGTAGGTACATTGTTTTGCAATACTCTTGCCAGAAATGCATGACCTCTTCCAATCATGAGAAAATATCAGACAAACCCAGATGAGGTTACAAAACAACTGATCAGTACTCTTCAAGAGGGTCAAGGTCATGAAAGAGAAGGGAAGACTGAGAAAGTGTCACAGACCAGAGGAGAGTTAAGAAGCAGTTAGGATTCTGGATTGGATCCTGGAATAGAAAAAGGGAAAGATTGGTGAAATTCAAATAGGTCTGAATTGAGTGAATAATATTATTCCAATATTAATTTCTTATTCTTTATAACTTACTGATAGAAGATGTTAACTGATATAAGATGTTAACATTACAGAAAGCAAAGTGAGGAACATATGGGAACTCTGTACTATTTTTGCAACTTTTCTATAAAATTTACAATTCAAAATAAAAATTTTATTTAAAAAGTTTTTCTTAAACATTTATTCATTTTTGAGGGGGTGGGCAGAGAGAGAGAGGGGACAGAAGATCCGAAGCAGGCTCTGAGCTGACAGCAGAGAGCCCGATGTGGGGCTTGAACTCACAAACTGAGATCATGACCTGAGCTGAAGTTGGACGCTCAGCAGACTGAGCCACCCAGGTGCCCCTTAAAAGGTTTTTTTTTTTTGTTGTTTTTTTTTTTTCCCCAAGTAGGTAATTGTAAAGAAGGCAACCATGGTTTTCTTCTTGCCTCTAGTGACTATTTTAGAATATAAACTGCATGATATCAAGAAGCTTACTTAACCCAGGCACCAAATTTAATGGTTAAATACAAAAGAAAAATAAAAAAGAAAAGAGAAAGCAAACACTGCATTTGAGAAGATCGCTAGGGGTAGTGTTGTCACTATTTTATTCGAATGCCTTCTTTCCTGTGTTTCAGTATTTGGAACAGAGCCAGACATGACCCGGGATGGCTCAACCATACCAATTGCCAGAATATTCCAGGATATCATCCAAAAGAGTGTGATGATGCTCCCGCTGGGTGCTGTTGATGATGGGGAACACTCTCAGAATGAGAAAATCAACAGGTTAGCGGATTCCTTGGAGGGGCCAGTCCTGCACCACACAAACCCCAAGTCTCCACATGGTAACCCTCTGACCTGCTACATACTGGCGATCGAATTTCCATCACCAAACCTTCCTATTTACATTGTAGGCTACTTTGCCCTGTCATTTGCATGGAAATAACAATGTTTCTCTTTGTTTCTTCTTTTGTTAGGTGGAACTACATAGAAGGATCCAAGTTATTTGCTGCCTTTTTCCTAGAGATGGCTAAGCTTCATTTGTAATGACAGGAACCTTCCAGCTTAGAGCTGACCTACTGACAGATACCCTCTCCTGCAGCCCTGCATAGGGGTAGAATCTAAATATCCAGAGAATTTCCATCCAGGAAATAATGTCTTCCCTCCCATTTAAAATATCTTCCGACATTTGGGCCAGTAATAAAACATTTTAAAGGCACAGATATTGGAAATGGTGTACCGTCCCAGTGGCACACCTTTCTGAAGTCACAGCTACCTGCAACATCTCCCTAAGGCCAGCTGTAGGAGCCCCGGGAGTAGACTCACTCTTTCCTTGGAGCACAAGGACAGTTCTTCCACTAGACTCTCCCTGGCACTTTGATGGGCCTCATCACTCCAGTGTGCTCTTAGGTTCTGGCGGTGCTCATGACATACTCATTCGATGTTTCTATCACCCTTTCCTTTACCACACATTCCTTTTGTTAGTAAAACTGTTGGTCCCACCACTGGCGACCATGATTTCCCTGTGGGTTCATTTGTAGAGGAGTAACTAAAGTGTGATGCCCTCTTAACCTTTTGCCTCTCCTTCGTTTATTTTGCTTTGCTTCTTGGAAAGTTCTGAAACAGGAATGGTCAGTAGTTGTATCCTTATGCCATTTGGGATTCCCTTTGTGAAGATGAGTACTTTTTCTATTTCAAGGCTCTTTACCTTTTCTAGGATTCATGCCAACCAACCACCTCTCCTGCACCCTCTTCTTTCTTCCTACCCCATTCCCCCAGACATCCGTGCACACGTAAAGTCACCACAGGAGAATCAATCCCGATAGAATTTCCCTCCCCCCGCTGGAATTTTACTCAGTGACTACATCTAAATTGCTCAAAGCTTTTAATAGCATCGGTTTTAGATAGAGAATGAATCTAATCAGCCCTGACATCAGTAACACATTCTAAATTTAAAGCCATCAGCTAATGCTGCATTTAGTAATCATTTTAGTTAACCGTCTTGTTTGCCTTGATTGCATTTGATGGTGTAAACAAACAAACAAACAAAAAGAATGTAATTTTTCTACAGTTGAGTGTACATAAACAAATCAATTCAATCTTTATAAATTCATTACTTAAATGACATTAATGGAGAAGAATTTAAGAGTTTATTAAGAATGTTTCTCCTAGGATTCGAAATAAAATCAAAGCATAATACATTTAATCTCTTTGTGGGTTTTTGAAATATCAGTTTTAAAAGTTGCAGCATCATATCTAAAAGGGCTGCACCATAGGCTAATGATTCAGCTTCTCGTCATAGAAATGGGACACCACACGAGGTGTCAGCTTCATGGGGGCATCTATATGAATGATCTGCTTTTCTTCTGATGGTAGCGAACATTGATTCCTATTTGTTGAGTATGGACAAGTGTTTGATACACTTTATTGTTAAGCTTGATTCATGCTTGCCAGATTATGTTGAATCATGTGACGTTTTGGATTTTGCAGGGCCTACCTGATGTATTTGGCAGAGTTCCCAAGAATTAATTGCAAGAGGTTTAGGACACCAATTTATATTATTAAAAGGGTATTCATATTAGTCAATGAACAAAAGCTGGCTGTAAAGTAAATTCAAGCACTTCTGAGCAATGTAACGTCACTCAGTGTATTGGCCTGGAAACCTGTGTGAGTGTGCATTGCATGGTGCGAGAGCCTTGTCGGTGACACGTTTTCTGCACTTGCAGCTGGAGGGGGGGCAGTGGGTCAAGGGCACATCAAGGGACTTGATGTGGGCCTCTTCTCCCTCCACATGTTCACTCCACTACATCCTTTTGTCAGTCTCTGTTAGCCCGATGCCTGGGACTCCCAGCACAGCTCTACTCAGCCACCTTTTCTGAGAACTGGACCCCTGATCTTCCTGCAGATTTCATATCTGAAACTTGACTCATCCAAAACGGAAACTCTTGCCCATCCTCCCAAACCTGTTTCACCTCTAGTGTTCCCTGACTTGGTACACGGACTATTGGAATCCTCAATCTTCTTTGACACTTCTATTTCAGATCCAATTCAATATCAAAACCAGGTGACTCCATTATTCAAAAGCCACCACTTCCTTCCATTTCCACTGTCACATCCAATGGCCTGAAAGCCAAATCCTGTGTAGCTTACTTATGGCAGAAGCCCTCACCCAATCTCTCTGCCTAAATGGCAGTCCTCTTCCACGTATGTGTCACACTGCAGTGCGCATGACCTGGTGGGGTGCACTGCACACAGAAAATGCTCAGTATTGCTTGCTGAAATCTTCCTCTTAATTTTGCAGTTGCATTTTTGGAGTGTCTTCTGGTAGGTCTGCTGTCTCCTGCATGGACTTCTGTCTTTATCCTCTTTCTCTCATGTTCTTCCTAGTTGGAGTTGTTTTGGGAGTAGCCAGTACTGGGGAAAAGTACATACAAGTCATGCTGAGGTGCCAGTGACTGATAATGGCTCACATGTATACCGCTGGGCAGCACTTGTGTCTTCACAAGGATCATGCCTTAATTCAGAGGTCACAAGACAGCAACCTGTGGCTCAAGGCTCCATTCACTCTGTTTCATACGGCCTTTGCAGTGTCCTAAGTATTTCTGAATTGGATGCCAGCATTGCAAAATCAGTGGACTGATTCGCACAAATTTCTCTTGAGCAACTACAAGATTGGGCGACACTGATCTGTTCCCACAGGCTGATGAGCCAGTTGAGCTGAGAAGTTGTGCTAAGCACAGTGCCTGGCCCATAATTTGTGCTCAACAAATTTCTTAGAAGTGGAAAAAGAAGGAGGTTCACAAAAGAAGATAATGCTATTCAATTTGGTTTCTCACTTACTTTCACTTTGTAACATCCACTTTATATTTTCTGGAGCTTGTAACACTCAAGAAAGCTCATCTTCCTCTTAACTACGCTGTAAAGAACTTTCCTCTATAGGAAGCAAGCTCTGGGAGGCAGAGGCTGGGTTGGGTATATTCTATATTTTGCTCAGCCATCCAAAGGCTCAAACAATTGATGAAGTACAAAGAGAAATACAGGAGATTTTCTGAAGCAAAGTGATGTATTCTTTCTTTTCCAGCATGATGTGGAAGAGCACAGATGGCAGGTGTAATGACTATAATTTCTTAACAGTTATGATAAATAAATAAATGCTTCTGAGCTTTTTTAGCTTGAGTAGATTGAAGAGAAAAAAGTTTTCATTGCATGGAAAAATTTTATTTAAAAACATTATGCTGTATAATTTCTTATCCAGAATGAGAAAAGATGTCAGAAAAATTATGCCTTCGACTATGATAGAAAATGTGAAGTTTGAAATCATCTCACCTCCCACATTGAAATTCACCAAAACAGCATTCAAAGAGAACGTAGATTTAAAATTCTAGTGTGGGTGGTTAAGTGTTCATAGCACATTCTTACTGTTATTGTAGGTAGGCATTTAAAAGTAATGGAAGTACATGTTAATTTAAAGGAAATTAGCACTTTAAATGTCACTGTTAAATTCATCTTCAAAAATGATTAGTCACCAAAAATGACCAATGCTTTCTTTCAAATTCTGAATAATTAGAATCGAATAAACGAGCCCATCTAAACTGTATTTAAAACTCACTTGAGGAGCCAGAAGGCAGAGCCCAGGGTTACTACATTAGGACACAGTAAGAGGAGGGAGGTTCTGGAAAGAAGAGTCACATAAGGAAAAACACCAAATTCTGCATACTCTGCCTAAATTGCCAGATGACCTCTGAACTAAGGCTGTGTGAGGCAGATTAAAGCATCCCAGCTAAGGCTGAGGGAACTGAATTAGATTTCAGTTGCCACCACAACAAGGGAGACAACGTATGGAGTATGAATACAGTCAGAATAACTAACTGCCTATTAAAACTCTATCAACCACATGGAGGTTCCTCAGAAAATTAAAAATAGACCTACCCTATGACCCAGCAATAGCACTGCTAGGAATTTACCCAAGGGATACAGGAGTGCTGATGCATAGGGGCACTTGTACCCCAATGTTTACAGCAGCACTCTCAACAATAGCCAAATTATGGAAAGAGCCTAAATGTCCATCAACTGATGAATGGATAAAGAAATTGTGGTTTATATACACAATGGAATACTATGTGGCAATGAGAGAAAATGAAATATGGCCTTTTGTAGCAACGTGGATGGAACTGGAGAGTGTGATGCTAAGTGAAATAAGCCATACAGAGAAAGACAGATACCATATG